GGGGAGCAAAATAAAGAAATTCATATGGAGAATAGACAGCTTTTTGTACATAGGTTTGTACTCGCCATTCACCTAACCTTCCCACATTTCTGGAATGCCAGCTAATCAGGAGAACTGGGGTCATTCGTATGAGACGAAACTGTCATGGAACCGACGGTGTTCGATTACCCCTCCAAAGTTGCTCTTTTTCCCAGTACTTCCCCCTAGATCCTATTGACTGACTTGTTAGTTTCCACCAGTCTACGCGGTTCTACTAGGCAATGTAGATACAGATTGCAGGAAAGGTCGTAGGACACCCACATCCACTATTCTCCTTCTCCCTGTGTTCCTTCCAAATGACTTTCATTTGGGAGGAACACAGGGAGGTAATTTTTGCACAGGCGACTTTCATTTTTTACCAGTGCTCATTTGATGACTGTGACTACATCTTCATGGTTCGTGGAGCCACCTCCTGAGGTTCCCAAGTATGCAGCGCCTATCATAAGGAATGCGCCATGTGGGTGACTCCATTCAATCTTGCAAGGAGTCATGCGTATTCTTCAATATAAGAGATTTAGCAAACAGACATTTCAAACTCCATAATTCATAGTTCCTTCAAGCTCATGACAAATTTTAGAAAAAAGATACATAATACTCAAAATTACCAGTACTAATAAGGAAAAAACTTGGTTGTCAGCATAGCCAAAAGAGAGCTCATGAGCATCTTAAACTTCATGAGCAGCTGAGCCAAACAACCCTTTCTTTTTTGAACAAAAATGGGCGTCGTATACGTCCTCCCTTGCTCTACCCAACGCGTTATCCTAGAGAAAAGATTCATTTTCTGAGTTTAGAAAGAATAATTTGATGTAAGCCATACTTCATGATATTTCAGTTGTACCCGGTTTTCAAATGGTACTGTCATTATCAATCGTGAAGGCCTTCCATCTCCTGCCACTTTTAAAAATAACGTAAGTCATTTCTCTATCATTTGCTCCTATTCACATTCGGGTGATAACTGACATTTTAAAAAAATTTTTAGAGAGAGTGAGCCTTTCATAAGTCAATGTAACTGTGGATTTAGCCGTGTTCATAGTCGGCGACAGACTGCCTGACCCACTCCGAAAACATTTTGGGCGCACGAATAATGCCCACAAGACGAACATCCTCGGAGTGACACCTCTTATAAGCGGCTGGCAGCCACTTGATAAACTAGGCTTCATTGAAGCATTTTTACCGTCCGAGGTTTCACTGATACAGTAATCAAATACAGTAAGACAGTGAAAAAGCTAGAGGAACAAAGAGACCTGACCCACGAAAGTAAGACACATCAAAGGGCAGTAGACATGAGCAAATCGACCTGTGACCACGTGAATAAGTGTACCATGCCACCAACCAAAAGTTCTTGCCAGGACCCGCATTTTGGATTACTGTCTCAAGACTAGTCGATCGAAATAAACAAAATGTTTTGGAGCCTCTTCATTATTGTCGTTTCTTTCATTCCTTGTCTCTTGTGGGTATATGGTGCAGGTGAATTTATGCTGATGAGGTGTATGTGATGTGATTACAGCTGAAACCAGTTGAAGTACTTGGTCCTATGTGGAAATCCTTTCGATCACTGGGAAGTGTAAGTGCGTGGTGCTCTCCTTCTGCTTCTAACTAACGTTTTTTGTTTATAACCGTTTTAGTTTCCGTTCTCTAGTGTTAGATCTGTGTAGACCAATCTTCTAATACCATGAATTAATACTATTAGCTTTATTATAATGCTATGTGATATTCACTAATAATAAACCAGGTGACTAGGTCCCATTTTTCAACTGAATTCCCTCAATCTGAGAAATTCCGCTTGTAATGCGAAACTAGTCCACACCTGCAGATCCTAGCGATTTTTGGGCATTGACAGTATGTCTGGAATACGGTAATCCACCGTATGACAACTGCTGGAGGGAAACGGTAGCGACATGTCCGCGGAAGCCCGACGTGGAAGGTCCTTCTCACGCGTCCGTCGAAAGTAGGCTGTCCCGCCCCACTTGGCCCTTTTGAGTTTCTCGTTAGCTGGAACTCAAAAACCTCCTTCGATTCGTCCGAATCGCTTTATAGCCAACGACCACTTGCTCCGCGTGGGTGGTCACAATGATGGGCGGATGTGACCAAGCGACTTGGGCGAAAGTCGTCTCATCCACTGCCCACCGACCTTTGCACAACTCACTGCACCGTACGCCGCACTGCTCGCGTGCTCCGTGAAAATCATTGCGAGAGATGAAGAGGGCAGGCGCACACCCACCGCTCTCCTTTTCCCTGAGGCAATCTCTTACCGTCCGTCTTCTCTCACTCAGTGATGTACGATCAGTTACAGATACGGTGCTGATCTTGACCACCTGCAAGTGAGGGGCTCGGCTCAACGGCCGAGTCCACACTCCACATTACTGGACTGCCGATGAGCCGAGACCACGCCCACCCCTGAGGCATAAAAATAGCGAAGGCACGTGCCCTGTTCGAACGCTGCTGGTCAGCTTCCATGGGCTCTACTGCTGTCTCCAACTTAAAGCGCTAGTTGCAACTTTACGTCCACGTCTATTCGGGGTGTTTACCGGCGACCTCAAGTGCCGACGGCGTAGTGGGTGAACCTATGTCTGGCAAGGCCAGGGTTCAGTTCCCAATTGGCGCGGCATGTTTTATAATGCCAGAAGACTTTTGCAAAACTTCTAATGAAACGTAAGTCCACGCCCACCATTCTCCAACGTAGTTTCCTCCTCAAGACTAGCGGTCTTGCTTATGATATTGGCGAAGCAACTTGCCGTAGCGAGGACGTTTTACTCTTTTCCAAGAATCGGACCTGATGACACACTTTCGAGTGTGACCGCAGTGGGCCTAACTCTGACTATGAAGAAAGGTGCCTAGTCATAATTTTTTCATAGATTTAACTTCCATAACTACTAATGGACTAACCCTGCCTTTCTCTTACTATTTCTGAGCTCACTGCGTGTTAACTTCTATTAGTCCTCACATACCTTCATAGAAATTCTTCAGAGTTCTAGACTTTGTAGAAGCAACATTTCGTAGAGTGTCTGGGACGATTTGAGTTCTAATCGGGTGATGTTGCTAGGATAAAATAGCTGGATTTCAGTTACTGCTACCTGAGGAGCAATCCGATAAAAGACGGCAGGAGATAGCTGTGGCTCCAGTGGCTCTACAACTGGATCAACCAACCACGAATGTGACGGCTTCCGTGAAATGCATTAGTGGAGGAAAGACCTATCACCCAGAAGAAACGTGAGTTCATTTATTCACACTGGCCTTAAATTTCCTTAATGTGAGATGTTAGGGGTAATGAAGTGACAGACCGCATATATTAGTATCGCACGCGTGGCCTGGAATCGAATCCTAAGTCGTTCCCCACCCGGGGAAACTAAGCCTCCTTCCCAACCAGTCGGATTCGTTCGGAAGACTGGCCACCACTAATCATCGCATAGGCCTTTTAAGCATTCAAGACACCACCACGATTCTGAATAGAAGCCGAATGGGGGGCACGTGGGGAAGAAATCACAATGTTCAACTCCCAATGGCCCTATTTTTTAAGTTTAAAGGGGAGACCACAGGTCTAATAATTGGGATGGCAGGCAGAAACTGACAGCTGCGTTCGTCCATGGAAGTGCCTTCCACTCCTCATCATTCAGACTTGCTCTTGTAAGGGAAAAAAAGTCTGCATGTTTGAGACGGTGGGATAGAGTTTACTGTTGCTCTCACCCCAGGCAGGCCATTTATACTCCCAAGGACCCCACGGTCGATCGATACCATCTGCGCTGGCGATCTAATCGGTCTGTCCTTTTGAGGCTCATGGTGGTCTTACCGGCTAATGACCTAAGCGGCTCCAGTTAAATAATTTTGCAGCTAATGCATTTCAATTTTTTCTGTTGCAGGTGGATTTCCGAGAAAAAATTCACCAAAAAATGCACCCCGGACGGTTCAATAGTGATTCTAAATTGTTTATTAGACGATAACAAATCAACAATCAACATCAACACCGAGTTGAAAGTCGGCAAGAAGGTAGGCATTATTTTAGCACCATTGACTT